CTGTAGGGTGGATCAGGTGACCCTGAGCCTATATTTTTATTTTATTAATACAGAGACTCACAATTTTAAGATGTGTCCCTCATCTTATTACACCTGCCAAGAAACTGAAATGGTGCCTTGATCTCTGCTCTCTGCCTTCATTCTACCTGTGAGTATCACAGGCAGTAGTTTGACAGAAAAGCATTACAAAGATTCCTTAGAACTAAAGTACTAGCACAGTGATGCAAACCACAGGTAGTTGATAAAATATTTTGAATTTAGCAGTCACCAGCCACATCGACCTGATCAGTGTTTGATTGTTGTGTCTTGTTGCTTTTCTTCTTTTGTCTCTCCTCTATCCACTCACCCCAACCGGTCGAGGCAGAAGGCCGCCCACCAAGAGCCGGGGTTTGTCGGAGGTTTCTTCAGTTAAAGGAAGTTTTTCCTCCCCAGTGTCGCCAAGTGCTTGCTCAAGGGGGATTTGTTGGGTTTTCCCTATGTAATAATATTGATAACAGTAAGGTCTAGACCTTACTTTGTAAAGTGTCCTGAGATGACTTTTGTTGTGATTTGGCATTATACAAATAAAATTTGATTTGATTTGATTTGACAGGTGAGCAGAGAAACCTCAAGTCAGCGATCACAGTGCTCATTAATCATGATGCAACAAAATCAGCCAGTAATGAAGACGGCGGTTTAGTAAACAGCTGTTCATTAAACAGTACACAAACTTACAGAAATGTGACCTTTGACACAATGAACTCACTGGAAAGTCAATTTTCCAAGTGTGAGTGAAGTTCCCAATTGCAATCAGATCTACCATCTTTTCAGATAATGCAGACATCGTTTTGTTTTATATTTTAAGATTTTATTTAAACATTGACATTAGAAGTTTCTTATCGTTTCTTATCATTAAATAACTCTGTCTACCTTGAACCACCCCCAAAATAAATTCCTGGTTATGCCCCTGGAGGAGGCAAAGGAGCAGGACAGTGTGTATGGCCAGTTATCACTACTGTACTTATCACTTTCTGTGTTTAAACATCTTGACCCCACTGTGCACATGCTTTCCAGTCAGAAATGTTCTGTCTTGAGTGATAACACACAGAATTGTGCTCGTTTTGGTCTATATTAGGCTGAAAGAAACAGAGTGGATTCTGATTTGTAAGTACCCTGACACATTAAGAACTTCTTTTGTAACTTTCCTTCTTGTCTTTTCCTTTTAGCTGTCATCCTTAAAACAACATTTTATTCATTAAGTTAAATATTTAAATTCTTCCACAGGTTTACTTGTACATCCTGTATATCCTAACTTTATCCAACATGACATGTCTTTATTGAAGAAGTCACTATTTTGTCACTGGCTGTGGGCCTCCAAGAATTTAACAGTATAAACATCTCATTCCTGTGCCTGAAGCAGAGAACCCTGCAAAGAGTAGGCTCAAGATTACAGCCTTGCAGCTCCCTGACCACATGGAAACCATGATTGTAGACCTGAGGTGTATATATAGCAGCAGACCACTCCTTACTGTTGTGTATTGTGAATGGATGTACGCCCTCGCCCTAAAGTCTGCACCACTGAATGTAGAGAATCACGGCTAAATTATACACTACACACAACGCTTGGCACTGATGTTGTCATGTGTCTGTCCTATCAGTCTTTAGCAAAAAGAAAAGACTAAAAATGGCTTGGTATCACGACACAAAAAAACACAGCAAATGTGTAACATGCAAGTTGCTCATGGGTAAAATGTATCATCAAACTATCATTATGGGTTTAGAAATAAACTACACCATATGGACAAACAGATGAAACCTATCTCTCTTGCTTCACAACATTTCTTGTGCTGTGTGCTGGGCTCTTGTACTGAAGTGATTATTGCTTCTACTGATGCTAAACTGTCTTCAAACAAATTAAATTCCAACAGGATCAAACTGCCAACAACACAGCCCAAACAAACGCATCACATCTTCCTGTGTCAGAACCTTCTTTCTACAGAGTAAAGGGCACAGAAAGCTCTCCAGCACCTTTTTCATACAATTAGGTGAGAAAGGTGTATTTATATAAAAAGCAAAATACAGCATATTCAATGGAGGGATTTTGGATGGGGTGGCCAGGCTGGGGCACAGGCTCAGCGTGGGGTGGCACATTTGAAATACATGTACAAGTAAATTAAACCCCTACTTGTATGAAATAATAAACCATACATTATTAAGAATCAAATTATTTTGTGTAAAAATGAGACACACAGTGCTTTCTTTAGCTAACTGGCTCTGCCCATGGGGATATCAAGAAAAAAAAAATACTGTGCAGGGTTAATTTACTGGTTCTGTACCTCTGAGTTGAAGCGGATCTGGCAGACATTACAGGAGATGACTGGCCTTTTGGTCTTGACCAAAGGAACTCCAAAGGTGTGATTGATCACTGCCTTCTGCACTGGGTCCATCTGAGAAAAAGAGACAAGAGAAGACAGTGAGAAACAAGAGTGAGAATAGTAGAGCTCTGTGAGTCATAACTCACTTTACAATTCTATGCTCCTGAAGTCCTGGTTCTACTAGTTGACAAGCCAGTCCATCATAATATGTGGCTGTGCTATATTGTACTCACTACACCTGATGAAAGAGGCCAATGTGGAGTAGCGAGGCCAGCAGTTTTTACTGCCCAAGAGACTAAATCTAAAATGATCAGAGGTGGATCAATTGCACAGACGTGAGCATTTACAGCATCTATTCTGTGTTTACAGTATGTCTGTGTTTATAATCAGCCTGGTCTTGAGTGTTGACAGTGTGTTGCTACAACTGAGACACCTGTTGCATTCCACCCAAGCTTAGGTTTCTGATCCAGACCAGGGTTTAGCTTCATACTGTCCTAGTGCAAATTGTTTCAGCTTGAACATTCATCATCTCTGTGGTGTTCAGCACCTTGTATATATTTAACTAACTTATCTAAGCATTTTAGTGGCTAAGCTTTCCACTTAAACTCTGTCCTAGACACAAAAGACCCTGCCTGCACTGATCCAAAAGGGCTCCATACCAATTATTTATCTGTGTTTAAAGCTGAAATTATCTAGCAATCACTGTTAATTGACATTAGCATTAGGCTAAAGTCAATGGCTGGTGTGGATTTCCATTACAAAAAAACTTTCAGGCGCTGTCAGCAAATAAAGCAAACAATATTTATACTATGATGTGGCACTGTATGGATATGATGATGTGTGTTTTGAATTCATAAGGCAGTAAGGGAATGTTCCAGAGTGTCCTCCAAGTCTGATGCAAGCCTGTTAGTTTAGAGAACCCAACAGACTCTAAATGACTCAATTTGGCTCGTCGCTACATTTAATTTGGCTAATCACCAAGCTTTCCCTTAAGATTTCTTACACCCAGAGCAATACTGTAGTTTCATCTAATGTATAAAGGCTCAATTCTTCAGCTTGAGGAGTGACAGAGAGAAGGCTGAAATGAATATGCTCTTACAGTAAGTCAAGCTCAAACTGTTTGAATTTCTGGACAGTGCTTGTTACTTGGAAACTCCAAAGAAACAGTGTAAACACTGAAAGAACGGAATGAGGAGGAGGCCTGAGACATTTAACTGGGTGACAGGAAGAAACAGAAACACACCATCTGGAGGAATGAATGAGTGAGGGAGTAGGAGAAGAAAATGAATTAGGGTAGATAGAAGGAGAAAGGAAGGGAGAGGAGAAACGAGGATGAGTCCAAAGGGGGGGGGGAATAGGTCCAGGCTGGCCAGCCTCACATTGCACATTCTTATCTCATTTAGCTTTTTTTCCCCCATACTCCACGTTCCACAGCTTTCTCTAGTTCTCTCCCAGAAACAGCCTAAAGTAGGCTTTGCTGGTGCTGCTGCTGCTGCTGCTGCTGTGAATTCCATTGGATATAGGGGGGGTGGATATGGAGCAGTGATGATAGAAGATGATAATGATCTGAACAACTGCAACAATAGCTCAGCAGTGACGATGCATTAGCCAGCTGAAACCTACAAATTGACTACTTTAATACAAAGACTGCAATAAAAAACCCATTTACTGTATATTAGCAGTCAACTCAGAATTTGGGTGTCCATGTTGTGACCCACAGACAATTTAGCAAGAGGCTGAACAGGCCTGGTACAGTAACTGTGCATGTGAATCATGAGCTTCTCACCCAGCCAGTCATTCGAGTATTCTGTGTGTAGGTCAGCTCTGATCCATCCAGTTGATTCAGCTGTTATAAACACTGTTGAGCTGCCAGTAAGATTTTTGGATAGCATCTCACATGGCTTTTAACCAGAATTCTCTCCAAAATGTCCTCACAAACTATGAGCAAAGCTTAGTGATATAACTTAAGCAGGACTTTCCAAAACTCACTCAGTCACTGTAACCAATTGTAAGAGAATCAGTTATGGTACAGTATTTCAAACTGGCAGTGTTTTCTGGATTATCACCGTATGATAAAACCCATTCTCTCTCTAAAAGTAAATAACATAAAGTGTCATCTTGATTAATAACATTCAACTAAGTGAGTTCATGTCAGTTGGAGTATGGAGCTGTTTTAATGTGGTAAGTGCTCTGGCAGATGTAAGTAAACCACACAGACCACTGATTTCAACATCACTCAGAAACCATGTCAACTGCTCCACTGGGCCTTAAAACACAATGCCTTTGTTACCACAAATCTTCTTCTGAAGAGAAACAGCTCAAAGAGGAGCCAAGCATCTCCCGGCACTGCACAACAGCATGCATGCAAATTTGTCAACATCTATTGTGGGATTTTTTTTTTAACTTTCTTTTTCTCACTTCTCGCTACTCTTTATTTTTTTTACTTTCATCCTTTCTGCTTCTTCTAATACTGTTGTATGTTTCCTGCAAACAAAATATTTGGAAGAGCAACAAGGAATGCGCTGCTCCACGACTCTCGGTGGGACCACTCAGGCACTCACAATGTAGTCCGCACTTTGCCAGATATAAACAGCCTCTGAAGCGCTCAAGTTCTTTTGTGCCCAGATTGAGACACAGTTGAGTGAAAAACAAAAAGCTCCAAGAACTTATTGTACGTACTCACCTTCTTCTCCTCTGTATCTGTAGAATCTTGGAGCTGCATCGATCCTTCTGTGTGTGTCTTGCTGGCCGAGGTGTGTGTTTCGGTTTCAGCATGTGTGACACTGAGAGTGTGTGTTGCACCTATCACACTCATTCAGCCTCCTTGTTGGTTGTCAATGTTGAATACAAACTAACTCACTAAAAAAAAGGGCTTGTGCCTAGTGATGCATTGCCAGCTAAGAATTCTTTGCGTTTCTGGCTTTGGCACATTCTCTGCTTCACTTTGAGATGCAGAGTGTCTGCTGTAAGGAATTTCTCAAATCTCTCCTTTACACTTTTTTGTTGTTTCACTGAAACATCATCTAGCAAGTGTCTATTCCTATTGTTCAGGCTTCACCTCCTGTCTTCTGGGCTGCTTTCTCTCTCTCTCCGCCTCATGCTTCCCTGTAGTGTTTCCCTTGCTCTGCTTTCTAGATTTCTCCTCCCCTTCTCTCTCTCTCTCTCTCTCTCTCTCTCTCTCCCACTTTTTCATGCATTCTCAGTATGTCCAGATGCAGCCAGGATTGTGTGCCCCACTTTCAGCTCTCTCCCTTCACCCTAAGTTCACACCATCTATCAAATCGCATCATCATCATCATCAATCAGTGGAGTTTTTGCCCTGCCCTCTAATTCCTGCAAGTACACATAAATACATAAAATATTCTTTCCTTTTGTGTGATGCCATTGAGCCAGATTTTATTATGTTTAAGAGCCGATAAATCCCCATGAGGAACTGGACAAAACATACTCTAAATAGTTACACATTTTGATCAGTCAGGCTCAGTTTGAAACTTGTAGAGGCAACAAGTATGATGTCATTCAAGTGTGGGAAGATTCGTAACAGAACAGAAGTGCTGTGAATGATGATCTATGGAGAGATAGTTGTTTGGGAGGAGGGTAAAAAAAAAAAGAGATGAACGCAATGTGGACAGCAGGTAAGATCCAACAAGTGCACGCAGCTTTGAATGATAAGACATTCATCGGAAGGTCCGGTCTTTGACTGAACAAGTCCACATGAAGGCAGATAGCTCAGCTCCTAGGTGTGTGAGTGTGCATCTATGTCAGGACCAGCTGCTGCAGATAAATAATTCAGCCTCATGACTGTCTAGAGGCACATCGGGCGAGACAGTCAGGTAGAAGACAAATCACATTAGAGGACTATTAAAACTGTATATGGCTTTAGGGAAGGCCATTCTTCTGCTGCGGGGCTAATAAGCCTCAATATGTCATTACGACTATACAAACTCAGCAAAGATCACTTATTAAGAAAAAATGATAGAACAACTAGCTGTCAGCTCAGTGCAGGAACATTTTTCAGTATTATTGCTGCTGTAATGCTTTGTCTTCAAGGTAATATTGTGCATATTAATATTTATAACAGTGCAGGCAAAGACTAGAAAGCATCTAATACGCTAGAAATTTTATCTTTAATGTCAAATAATTGTGGAGTTCAACCTCCATTCATAGTTACATGAAAGAAATGTGACCCAAGCAGACTAACATTCTCTGCCTCTTTAAGCATTCTTGGTTCTAAAAGCAAGCAAGTAAACAAGCCATGAAATATAGTCAGCGATGTAAACAGAACTGCAACACTTACTTTCTTACTCTAGGTCTCCATGTAGAAATTTACTCAACTATACAACACTAAATTAAACATGAAAATGTGTGTTGGAAAGCCAAGGGCCGCAACGTCCTCCATAGGAACACACAGCTAGAGAACAAAGACAGAGACTTCATTAACAATTGAGGTTGTGTGTTTTATTCCTGCTTTTTTAATGATCAAAAATGTATTTTCCTGAAGCTATGTTATGCATAATGCAGACAAACCAGCTGTCTGTGAACTATACTTCAGGCACCACTTCCTCTTCCCCTCTTACTGTACTACCAGGTTGAGGGTGTCTTTTCTCCCTTGTTTTTAATGCAATGCAGTAAAAGCAGTAAAGTCCTGCCCATATCTATGTGCCAGTATGCAGTGGAGCTATAAGGTCAGATTGTCCTCCAAGCCTCTCCTATGGCCCCACCTCCTGGACACAGGGCTGTAAAACACCACTCAGGGCTGACTCTTGGTCATTAACATTCACAGCGGCTCTGTGGACCTTCAGACGTAGTTAATGTTCTGAGAAGGAACATGGGGAGTAGAGGGATGTTACCGAATGAGGGAGAGAGAGAGTGCTGCAGAGGAAGTGAGACACAATGAAGAAAGAACAGGCAAGAATGATTTCACAGCTGTGCTATCAGTTGAGTGGAAACTGAGAGCCTCCATAATTTCACTATCGATATTAATTTACGTCTGCTGGGTGCACTGCAGTTTTAACACCAGTAGGAATGCGTCCACTTATGTCATGGCCTGTGGAGAGCTTTTAAAATGACTGTATTGTTAAAATGTAGTGTCTGGACTCCTGTTACAGTACTATCAATGTAGGACTACACGTAATCTGATAAAGCACAAAGTAGGCAGATATTTCCAATCAGTGACAGGGGATTGCCATGTTGCACCTTTGCAAAATGCAAACAATTTATACTAGGCTGACACATGCAGAGAATAACACTGTTGCAAACATGGTTCAGGAATAGCACTGCCCCACATACAGTACATTAAAAGATCACTGATTTTACATGTTGCTGATGAGAAATGTGTTGATTTTCCCTGACTGAGTCCAGAGGAGAGGGCGGCACAGTATGCTAAGTTGATGAAATGCTAAATGTCTCTAAAAGGACAATGTTAGTTGGGGCCTGGGGAACAAAATACCACATCAAACAAAATGTGGTGTTTGAAATACATAGGTATAAGGATGGCCTTCAAACTGCTCTTTAATTCTCAGGGCTCTGATTTAAGGAATTGGACCAAGGATGTGTACATGAATTAATATAAGCACACCACACTTCCCTTACAGAGCTGCCTGCCTAACGCAGAATAGTGGGCATAAGGATAATTCGTTGACTTAAAGACACACTCATAGTGTTTCCTTATTGTAAAAGACTGCAGTGTGTGTGTGTGTGTGTGTGTGTCTTTGTTTGTGTATCTACATCAACTCTCACCGTGTTGAAGCTGTGAAAGAGGCTCATGCTGTGTGGAGGTGGGGGGGTCTCCACAGGGAACTGTAGAAAGGGCTTTATGTCCAGGTGGGGCTGGATCACCGTGGGGGTCCGCAAGAACGTTGGCACGGCTGCCCCAGCCCTGTTTATGCCTCCTGCACACAAAAAAGATAAACAGATACATAAATATACAATCCACTGTATTATTACTCATATGTGTTTTTGTGTTTGTTTTGGCAATGTAAGATAAGTGTACTGGGAATAATTATCTTATGAAGTATAAAACTAAAAGAGAGTGACAGATAGGAAAAACAAAATGTGTAGCTCATTACAGACTGTGTGCTGTTGCTTCCTGGAAAGTGCTACTGAATTCCAAAAAGCACAATGAGACATAATTGCACTGCAGAAGCAATTGTTTAACTAGGCAATTGTTTGACAGAGCAAAGTTATGTGGCACCCCAGTGGAACATGCAACCTCTAAACTGTGAAGAAAAAGCTGCATTTGGGTCATTAAGGATGGGCCAGTCATTGCCTTGGACAGTCATTCTTGTTGCCCTGACAAGTGTTGGGGCAAACGCTGTGATCCTGAAGATTTTGTGACTTTTTAGAATTTACATTATAATAAAACATTCACATGAAATGAAGCATGAATGTCACAGAGAAGAAAAGAATGCCACATAGCATTCCTCTTATCCACCTGCCTGCCAGCCTCCTCTCCTCTCCTCTCCAGGGAGACATCTGCAGCTTGATGATAATGAGTTTCATTGCAGTGCACGTAGTTTTATGTCATCCTGACTCATTCACCAGAGTTGGATCACTTGGTTGTGTCTAATTATTGAATGAATGAGTTATAGACTGTCTCCTCTACTCATGGCTGAGACATGCTCCCTGACTTTGACTGGATCCAACATACTGTCAGACCGAATTTTCACAGGAACTAAAAAACACAGTTACTTGTGAACAGCTGTATAAAGGTACTACGTATACATACACGCATCTGTGCACTATGTCAATGTTTAATTCTCTTACAAAAGCATGCAAGGCTGACATAATGATACACAGCTCCCTAGTCTCATTGTTGCTCCCATTTGCCATCTCTTCCTCTCCACATTATCCCCCCTTGTCTCCTCTTTAACCTTTGTCAAGGATGATAGTGATGGAGCCCACACAGCAAAACTCAAGCTCTTATATTAAGCCTCTTAACATCCACGACTGGATTTCTGTGCTTTCAAATTCCCCTGAGACTTAAAGCTCTGCCGCTCTCCTTCCTGGGATTTCTTTAAGCTACTCTCTCACTCTGTTATTTGCTGTCCCTTGCTTCCTACTGCAATTCCTTTCTACCTGCCTCCACACTTTCACATGGTAACTTGAGCATTATTGCCTCTGCATTCCCACCGAGCTTTATGTCAACTGAATGTGATCAGACAAAATAATATGACTGTCGCATGGAGAAATGTGATATTAGCAGATGCAGTCTACAAAGTCAGGATTAAAGAGAGTGGGACAGATAGAGAAAGAGAGAGAGAGATTGACTTTGTCAGACTGAGTGAAAGTGCTGTCTCAGCTGAAGCACAGCTGCCTTCTGCTGCACATCTGTGGGGCTCAAGGTGGAGCAGATTGCTTCATTACCTCTAGTCAGGCACGTCTTCCACTAAATATACACACATGTACAATATGAATGCACATGCTTGTGCTGAGACATGGCTATTCTTACACCATCAGGAACATGCTTGTGACCTTGCACCTATCGATTTTCCAGTCAGTGGACAGTTTTTGTCTCATCATCACAAGCTAGCTCAGCAGTCTTCAACTCTCCACTAGCAGATTAAAGCATTTGTGTTTATGTTTCGGTATTAATACTGAGAAGTGATGTGTTTTTGTGTGCTATTCCAAATGTCAAAGTCACACATTCGTTTAAGTCTGCACAGTCACCAGTTTCTCAGAAAAGTCCCTGAAGTACAAATGTTCAGTTTCCTCAGGCAGTCTTTTAAACCAAGGTCCTTCTAGATACTAGTGAATGTTTCTCTTCCACTTCTGCCTCCTTTCCTAACATAGGCCATTCCTCATTTGGGGCTGCGCCACTAACAATTTGATGTATACATTAACTCTTGACTGCATTTATTGTGAATTTATGCCACACTGATACATGGCCTTGCGTCTGTGGCTCTTTTTATGTGTGTATTCTTTGAAAGAGCAACACTGTTAGCTGAAGTTGCACAGTAGTAATGTTTGCAGCTCCCCAGTGAGTCTGCACTTGAACATGGAGACTGTTACTGACAGTAGGTCATCCAGCCTCTGGCAGGCAAACAGATGGGCTGACCAGAGAACAGAAAGTGTCTCTGCAGCAGCAGGAGGAACTGAAATCTGAGGAAGTGAATGGAGCTGAGGACCAGACAGGAGTGAGAGGAACAGTTGTCCTTGGAGCAAAGACAGTCCCATCAGAGATGTTTGCATGTGTGTTTGTCAATGCGCCTACATCAGAGTGTGGCTGCTTTCTTCTCCTAGTGTATAATTACACCATTCGTTTAAACCTCCCTTTTGGGACCTTCTCACAGTGTAGATCGAACAAATCACTGTATGAGTGTGCATGTGTGACTTGCACAAATGTGTTTATGCAATGTGTATGAATAAATGTTTGTATGTGGTTTCATCAGGAACTATTTTGCACAAGTTGATGAATTGTTGTGTAACCAAATAAGACAACAACATGACATAATAAAACCGCAGCATGCCACAGAAAAGCACTACTGTGCACACACCATACATACGGCAACACTCGTGCTGAATGGTTCCTTTTGATTATTAAACACTACAAGCAAGTGATATAACCTTCGGCTTCCGGTAATTGCGATGGGAATAATTATGGACAGAAATGATCAATAATAAGTACAGAAAATAAGTAAAGCTAAAGGTAATCACTGCAAGTAGAAGTAAATGAGGACAACGAGTGTCTTGTGTCTGTGTGTATTGACATATTTCATCCCTCTGTTCTCCCTGTTGGCTTTTGGAGCTTGATTTGTCTGAATGTGATACACGGTGACAGACACGCCAGTCTGGAAGAGCTGAGAGGACTTGAGGACTCAGACAGCAATTTGGATGTAGTTAAACCCTTTGACATGCCAGGAATCCTACCAGGCTCTGGGGGACGGGCATCAGAATCTGTGGGACGCCGCCAGAAGCCATAAGAATGAAAACATTTATGGTGATCATTTTGATTTAAATTCAGATTATGGCTAGAGTAAGAGTTTGGGTTAAGCACGAGGGCCAGTGAATACATAATAATGGTCCTTTCTAATATAAAAGTGTGTGTGTGTGTGTGTGTGTGTGTGTGTGTAAGTACAGACACTTAAACAAAACTTAGGCAAAGGAGTATGCTCATATTGTTGTTACACATATACAGATAACAGTGAGAAAGCCAGATTTAAAGTAGAAAAACAGGCTATATGGAGCTGGAAGCAGAGGAGAAAGAGTTAAGCATAAAAACTGGTGCAGTATAAACAAAGGGGGTAATTATGAGAGGTGAAAAATAGAGAGCAGGAAAAAGAAAGATCAAAGGCGAAAGGGACTGATTCTGTTATTTGGAATAATTCGCCAGGCTGCGTGGGCCTGATAAATTTACTACTGGCCACATCTCCACCTCCGCTCTGGAAATACACAAACACACATGTACAGTATATACGCACACATTCAAACAATTCAATGCTCTCTAATCCAGTTTCTCTATGGGCCATATTTATTTCCCTAAGTTCATTTGTGTATGTTGACGGAGGATCATAGTGTTTTCATACAGTTTGTGTTTTGTGTTTCCTCAGCTTTTCCCACCTCATGCAGTAATTATGATGTGATGCAGTATGGTAAATGGTCTTATACTTGTATAGCGCCTTTCTATGCTTTTACAGCACACTCAAAGCACTTTCACATTATTCGGCCATTCGCACTCCCAAGCACTCACGCATTCACACGCCGGTGACATCACCGGGAGTAACTGGGGGTTCAGTGTCTTGCTCAAGGACACCTCAACATGTTGACTGGACAAGCTGGGAATTGAACCGCTAATCCTCCGGTTAGGAAATGACCCGCACTACCTCCTGAGCCACAGCCGCCCCCAGTATCATAATTACAGTGAAAACAAAGGCTCATAAATTAGTCCAGGCTGACAGATAACCACATAATCAATCAGTCAATCAAATGAAGTTAAAAAAATATTATTTAAAGACGGTTCTTTAGATGAAATTATTTCAATAATACTATATAAGGTTATTATGTCCATGTGGGATTGCAGTGTTCACACAAGTGAACATCTAACTCTAGAAACTGATGGTAAAGGAGTGCTCTGTAATCATCATCAGGTGTTTTTCTTGCCCACACTGCAAGACAAAAAGCTGCATCTAGAATCTAGGTTAAGAGAGTGATTTCATGTCTTGAGATTATCTAATAGGTTGTGTAGGTTGTGCCACACTGTGTTCTGCTTTTTATCTCATGGATGTTGGGTGTATTCAAGACAGAATAATGAGCGCAGGGTAGCTGGCACAAGGCATGCTGGACAGGGACAGATGTGCCAGGGTTGTTGGCAGTAGAGCCAAGAAGAAGGTGGTGGTACCATTCAGGCTGCCAGCTTGACTTTCTGCCGACCCATAAAGCCAACATCCGTCATCCACATGGCTCAGAGGGGAGGGAGACATCAAGACTGCATACTTTACTATAATAAGTACCGGTGACTTTTGATGCTGTAATATTACCAAGTCCTCTACTGCTAAGGTTGAGTGCATTTGTTAATATGGTGCCTGACTGGGATTAATGTAAAAAACATGACTATGCTTTTTTTTTGGCATCTCAGATTTTTGAGCCAACCAGCGGCTGTACTGATTAAACATGCAGTGTCTGCCTAGTGTGTCCTGTGCATGGAGATTTGCTGGCTCTAAATCTCAAGAAAACCTGCCCTCAGCTTATCTATACATTATTGAGAGAACTCTGAGTCAGTGAGGTGATTTAAAGAGACCGTGGGATCTGCACTAGAAGCTTCCCCAATATAACCCCAAACATCTTTCTCAACAGACAACACCAGTAAACCAGACTCATACGGTAAAAACACCTTTAGCAGTTTTTCTTTATTAGCAGTCTCACTGCACAGAGGATTGTGACTGTCTGCACACTG